CCCTGTCTCCCCTACCTCCCGCCTTCCCCAAACTGTCGCCGAGTCCAGTCAAACTCGAGGAGATCTCCCTCCAGACCCTGCGCCAGAGCCAGAGCCTGAGGAGGGTGCAGGTGAAGAAGGAGTCTCGGAGTCCGAGTCCGAGGATTCTGTTGGGTCCACCTCGCCGACAGCGCTCGCCCCCGCGTCAGCAGTCCCTGACGTACGTAACCCCCCCCGCCGAACTTCCTTCGGCGCCTTCACCGCCGACTCCGCCGAGAGGCCGCTCGAGCACTCGCTCCTCCCGAAGTTCGACCAGCGGAAGGCCACCACAGCCGCCTCCGCCCCCGCAGCGTCCTCCGTCCCCCCCTACGCCGATAATGTCGTCCCCCGCAGCCGCCCTCGACAAGGAGACGTTAAAACTCCTCCTCCCACTCCGATACGATGGCAAAACCGTCATCGATTGCGACAGGTTCCTGTCACAGCTGCGCATCTACTGGATGGTCAACACGTCGTTGACCACCATCGAGCTCAAAGTACAGGTTGCGCTGAGCCTGCTCGACGGTGATGCCCGCGCCTGGGCAACCCCCTACTTCGCCCAGCTCGTATCGGTGCAGATAGGTGTGCAAGGGGCTACAACCCCATTCGCAAACGAAGCGGCCTTTGCCGCCGCCTTCAAGGCCCGCTTCGGAAATCTCGACGACGAGGCGGCAGCACAAGTAGAGCTGGCGAAGCTCTGCGCGGACAAATCGGTCCGTGAAAAACGCACTGCCGCGGAATTCTCCGCGCTGTTCAAGGGTCCGGCGGACCGCTCTGGGTATGGGGACCTGGAGCTACGCGACAAGTACCTGAGCGGCATCCCCTCCCGCGTCTACCGCAAGATCGAGCTCGAGACCTTCACCACGTGGCAAGACGCTGACAAGCGCGCCAATGAGGTCGAGCAGATCCTCGACATCAGCCGGGCCCGTCGGCCCGAGCTAAATAACTTCTTCTCGGCCCGAGGTCGAGGACGCGGTGGGGCACGTGGTGGTGCACCCTCAACGCACGCCGCTTCGGCCAGCATCAATGCGGCCGTCGGAAAAGGCAACTTCCCCGGCACATGCTTTGGCTGTGGGAAGCAAGGGTACCGACGTTTCGAGTGCCCCAATTGTAAGGACAAGCCTTACACAAAACGCGCCGACGCGCGGGCTACGGTTGCCTCGGGCTCCACCCAGGCTGTGACAAGCGCCCCCGTCACGACAACACCCTCGGCAAGTATAAGTGCCGCTTCAGCGAAATCCGAGCAATCGGAGCTGGCGGACTTAATGGCACAGGTGAAGTCGATGCGCGAGGAGCTCGAGCACTATCGGGCGATGAAGGAGGAGGGTTTTTGATCCGGTCCGCGCTTCGTGCCGCACGCGTCGGGCCGCGAGTATCATCTTGTAACAAGTATAATGTATTGTCTACTGCAATGGTGTACGAATTGGACCAGGGGTCCCAACATTTTCACATCCCAGTACGACTTCGAGGGGAAAGACGGCACAAAGACATAATCGCTATGGTGGACAGCGGAGCCACCACGAAGTTCATCAACAAGCGATTCATTGAAGAGAATAAGGTGCAGACGCGGAAGCTAAAAGAGCCGATTCCGCTCTACAATATCGACGGCACCCTAAATAGAGACGGAAGCATCTCAGAAGTAGCAGTGCTACAGATGCACATAGGAGAACACGTCGAGAAGACGGTGTTTACGGTCACGGACATCGGTCCAGAGGATGTGATCATCGGGTTGGATTGGCTACGCGAGCACAACCCCAAAATAGATTGGGAGAAGGGCTCCCTCAAATTGTCGCGATGCCCTGAAACGTGTAGCGCCAGGAGGACTGGCCGAATGGAGCAAGCAGCGACTGCGCGTGATACGGGGGTCAGGCCCGCGGTGCGCAGGCGTTCGCCGAAGTCCAAACGGTCGGTCATAGGTGCCTGCCGGAGCAAGGTGCTCCCGGACTTCGAACCCGAAGAAGATTCGGTGGAAGTGGAATGGGATGAGACTGACTTGATCGAAGCCTGGGAGCAGGGTATCACGCTTCCCGGCGCCCCTCAGCTGTTCGTCGCAGCAGGACACACGTATTCCCAGCTGTTCGCCGAGGAAGAGATCAAGAAGAAGGTCGTTAAGACCGCCGAGGAGTCGGTACCCAAACAGTACCACAAGTTTCTGAAGGTCTTCTCGAAGGAAGCATCAGAACGGCTACCCGAAAGAAAGCCGTACGATCATGCGATCGAACTCGTGCCCGGCTACTCCACATTCCATTCAAAGGTATACCCATTGTCGAGCAACGAGCAGGAGGAACTGGACAAGTTCCTAAAGGAGCAGTTAGCGAAGGGCTACATACGGGAGTCGAAGTCGCCAATCTCATCCCCCTTTTTCTTCATCAAAAAGAAGGAAGGGACGCTTCGACCCGTACAGGACTACCGCCGATTGAACGCGATCACGGTCAAAAATCGTTATCCCTTGCCGTTGATCGCCGAAATGGTGGATAAGCTCCGCGGCGCTACGCTCTTCACGAAGTTCGATGTCCGATGGGGATACAATAACGTCCGGATCAAAGCCGGTGATGAGTGGAAGGCGGCCTTCGTGACTAACCGGGGGCTGTACGAACCCCTGGTAATGTTCTTCGGTCTCACCAATTCCCCCGCTACCTTCCAGGCCATGATGAACGAGATCTTCCACGATCTCATCGTCGGCGGCAAGATCCTTGTGTACCTAGATGACATACTCATCTTCTCCACCAACAAAGAGGAGCATGAGAAGGTCACACGCGAGGTTCTGCATCGCCTTCAGGACAACGATCTGTTCCTGAAGCCTGAGAAATGCGAGTGGGACGTTCCCAAGGTCGACTACGTCGGCTATGTGTTCGGTGGCGATGAGGTGGCGATGGATCCCGCGAAGCTCAAAGGAATTAATGAATGGCCGGTACCCCGGAACAAAAAGGACGTCCAGAAGTTCCGGGGGTTCTCCAACTTCTACCGCCGCTTCATCAAGGACTTCGCTAAGATCTCGCGACCACTCGACCGGCTCACAGGGAACGACCCATGGCATTGGGGCGAGGAAGAGCAGTATGCCTTCGATGAGCTCAAACGGCTCTTCGCGACGACTCCAGTCTTGGCGCTGTACGACCCTAATCGGGAGACGCGCATTGAGGTTGACGCCTCGGGGTACGCCACTGGCGGCGTGTTGATGCAGAAGCAGGATGACGGCAAATGGCATCCCATTGCCTTCAGATCCCATGCGATGGATCCGGCCCAGCGGAACTACGAGATCTACGACAAAGAGATGCTTGCCATCATTGAGGCACTAGACGATTGGCGCCACTATCTCGAGGGGTTACCCAATCAGTTCGAGATCGTAACCGATCATAAGAACCTCGAGTACTGGCGTACATCCCAGCATCTCACGCGCCGTCAAGCGCGATGGTCGCTGTTCCTAGCTCGCTTCGACTTCCGCATCACGCACAAGGCCGGAACGTCCAACGGAAAGGCTGATGCCCTATCGCGCCGATCAGACCACCAGATCGGCGATGAGGACGATAACACCGATCAGGTGGTTCTCAAGCCAGAGCGCTTCCGCATCGCCTCCGCTAGGCGCGGTCACGCCTCGGTAACGGCCGATCAGTCGCTTCTGAAACGCATCAGGGAATGTTCGGAGAAGGATCGGGAGGTGGCCGAGGCACTTGAAAAGGTGCAGGACCTCGGGCCGCCCCGGCTGCAAAGGGGTTTTGAGGAGTGGAATGCCGAACAAGGGCTCCTGCTGTTCCGCGGGTGCGTGTACGTCCCAAAGAATGCGGAGCTCCGGCGGGATATAGTCAAGATCCACCACGACT